GGGGGGGGCATTCCTGCGGTGGTTCGCCGGACCTGCGCTCGGGTGGTGCACGGCCCGGCCGGCCCTCTGCCCCGTTGTGAGTTGATGCGTGCAGCAGTGGCCCGCCCTGCCCCGTCCTGCCCCGCCCCGGCCCGCTCGGGAGGGCTGCTCCTGTCCTGTCACGGGGCGTAAAGCTGCGCGAGAGCTGTAACCTGTAACCTCCCCATTAGTGTGATGTACACTTTCAATCTCGGCTTGCCACGAAACGCTCTCTGCCCTACCTCAGTGCCAGACAGATGTAGCAACGGCGTGGCTGGAGTACTGTACACATTGCCAGCAAAGGTCAGTAAAAAACAAAAAGCAAAAACTAAAATAAATATAATCGTTACCACATTGACATTTCACTTTATGTTACGAACGAGACCTCGAAACTCGCTCAAGGCTCGCTACGTTTTAGGGGATGTAACGCAGCAACATAAGCGAAATCTTCACAATCGAAATGTGTTTCGTCAAATCTCTTTTCGATATACTGAATAGACAATAATGGCATAATAATTTGTAACGTCACGCAACTCCCCTGCGTTACGAGACCCTGGTTTGTCCGTAGCGTTACGAAGGCAACACTGTTTCTGCTTTGTGTCATGCCATGTGACATGAGTCTGGCCGAGTATGAGCTGCTGTAATTTAATTGGCGGAAAGGAAACATTCGCGTATCAACCAGCGCTCGCAGGAGACGTAACAAGATGTCAGCTAATTTTGTTCGCACCGTTTGTACCGTAGATACGAACGTTCCTCGTGTTCTCTGAGTCTCGGCAGGGCAAGAGAACTAATGGACGGATACATTGGCGACTGAACTCTTGGTTCTCCAAGGGCGTCTGCAAGAGGAAGAATGAGATGTCGCAAACAAGTCTCGTTTTATTATTCCTGGAGGGCACAAAGTGCATGCATCTCGGGGACACTGGCGTCCCTCTTAAAGCGGAAAACAGCCCGAAATGAAAGAAATTGCGAGTTTATTGCGATGTTTTCTGCTGCTCTCTGCATGACTTATGTCGCGACCATCACATGACGACAGCCTGACCCGACGTGCCTCGGCTGACCTCGGTCCAGAGCATCACGAGCGTCGACTGCTTCGCTTTTACTACCCGCTGGGGGGGG